TATCAAGCTCCCATTCTGCACTGCCATGGTCGACTCCCGCTGGGAGTATTTATAAGACAGATGCGAGGTCGAAACTATAGTCCACCCTGGACGAGAACAACTTTTGGGAAAATAAGATAATGTGAAATTCAATGGAAACGTCAGCATTACTCATATCATTGTGGGAAAATTCTACTGCCAGTCCTTCATCACTTTAGACGAAATAGGGTGAATACCTCTCATATTACTGATTTACTGGTAGTCTCGAAACTCTACTCAAATACGAAAATCTTCCTTAATTCCTCTTGGGGCTACAGCGAGTGGAGCTAATCAGCGTTCATCAAATCAGCCTATATAGTAAGTTTAATTTCACTATACATCATAGTGTTCCATCCAAAAAGTACGTAAGCAATGTGTATGAGAAGATTAATAGATTGTATATCATCCTAATTAAACTAATAGGCCCGAATATCTAGATATGAATAAAAATAGAGTTTCAAAGAATTCCTTAGCGATATATTATGATATGACTTTTCATTTCGCAGGAAAAATTGGTTGGAAGGAATTCGGGATGTGTCTCACCGGGAACCGAAGGAGGATTGTTGTGTATGCAAGTTGGTTGTATTGCGCGAAGAAGCCCATGGCTCACCGTCCTACAAAATTGGTGAAACAGAGCTGAGCTTTCGTCTGTACTTTCACAGACATCACCAGGGCAGGAAGCCATACTTCAAAAGGTGGAGCAAAAATACTAGACCAAGAGAAGATGTGATAGGCTGCAATCCTAATCGCTTTGATACATCTAACTTTCTTTACCTTAATGAGTCATCTCATGATTAGGTTAGCTACTTCAACCATACACTACAAATGAGTGAAGTTATTTCACGAACCGAAAGTTCGTTTGGTAACAGATCTTTCCTTACACAAATACAGTAATGTACGATCCTATAATGTTGAATCATTTATAGGCTTGTCCCATTGTTCATTGTGTTAATGTAATATTCATGTCACAGGAAGTGTGATAGTCCTAACTAGATTCGAGTTTAATCCAGCCTCCTTCTCTTGCTCAGTGGCTCTACCTATACTCCTTTTCTCTTCTTCTCTTTAGGGCTATTCAACAGTCACACATACTTTATACACTGTTTTCTATATTTGATAGCTGTTTTATTAATTTCTATAGGCTCTATAATCTTACGCCTTTATGTGAAGTTCCTGTAACCCACAACGCGTGTTTCGGACCAGTTTATTGAGTGTCTTGTATCAGCCATATGTTCAGCAAGCTCAGATTTTTGGACCCATGGACCTTTACAGCAGTTTTTGCACGCATAATCTCTTCTGGATGGGTCGGAAGGTTTCCCCACCTAGAACTTACCACATGGGAACAAAAACTTGTAGCAGCCAGATCTAGAAAGAGGGTCCGAAAATTTTATAAACGAATAAACTTCTAAGCAAAATATCAATTTCTCTTTATACAATGTTTTGATATGCCACTTCCTCAGTCTGTTACGCAACTTTCTCGAAAGCTAACAGAAATACAAACCAGAAACCAAGCAGAAATTTCTAACTGTCTATCCTCCCCCCTCCTCCTCCCCTCATCCTATTATTGATAAGTGTTATCTAATTGCGCTTACTACTAATTGGTCATTAGCTTTAAACTTCCTTATTATATTGCTAACTATCCTATTATTATATTGTGCTTCTATATGGCCATCAATTAAAGGTACAATTTGTAATTCATCGTCACTCGTAATATCTATTGGGAAAATATCCGTAATAATGTATAAATTTTATCAACACTACTTCTTTGCAGTTCTAACTATATTAAAAGACAAAGTTTAGGACCTTCTTAGTTTGAGCTTTTCTGCTTTAGCTATGGCTTAATGATGGGTCAAGTAAATAGATACGACGAAGTGCTGGTCATTGAGAGAGAGAGAGAGAGAGAGAGAAAGAGGAAAAGAGAGCTTTAAATACGATATTGTATGCCCATTTTACATGGCCCATGTCACTGATGAACATTGTGTTCTAGTTAATATTGAAAACTTCAGCTAAATAATATTTGTCCGAAACTCTTTTAAAAGCTTCACGCAAAGTTCTGTGGCTAAATAATATATTAATTGCTTTCCAAGGCACATACATTAAAATGCTTCACAGGAAAAAGTGCAGCTTAAAGTTCACGGCCTTACATACATTACTCATCGTAAGTTCTTTGAAGTTGGAGTTCGCTAGTTGGCCTACGTTTACTACGTATTACAATAATTATTTACTTCCTAGAATATCGCTATTTAAGTTATCTTAGGCGAAAAAAACTCGTCACTTTAGATATAAAGGGATATAAATTGATAGTAGGCACCAGCTGAATAAATTCAGTAACAATATAAGCCACTATGGGAGCACGTCACCTCATCCTGTTAAAAATGGGAAATGAATGAAAACCACCCATCGTATAACGCCGAGGAGAATTCCTTTCAAACGTACAACTTGAAACAGATCACTTTATAAAAGAACGCTTTTTAACTTAGTACACTTTAGAATTTAAATTAACAAATTAACAATTTATTCCATTTAAACTACCTTGAGGCCTTATGCGAAATAGTTATGCTCAAAATATACTCTAGTTCAGTTTTGGATATTCACTTAAGTTTCCCGATTAAATAAAATTTATTATATAAGAAACTTAAATCAAAACATCATTACATAATTAACTAAATTTATTAATATAATGGTTTTAATATATTAAATGTGTGTACAAATAGCCCCGGTGTCTATTCGGCATGAGGATCGAGGAGGTTAAAAGCACCACTAAGACCCAGCGGATTGCAGCTCATAGTCATGTAAAAGGTCTCGGCCTTGATGAAAATGGCACACCATTACCAAATGCAGCAGGACTTGTTGGTCAGGAAAGTGCGCGCGAGGTACGTTCACGCCTAAGCTTCTAATTCTTCAGGCCGCTGGAATTATTGTAGAAATGATTAGATCAAAAAAGATGGCAGGAAGAGCTGTATTGATGGCCGGCCCTCCAGGAACAGGAAAAGTAATTTATTTCTCAATTTATTTTTTAGACTGCCATCGCACTTGCGATCGCCCAAGAGCTGGGAAGCAAGGTGCCTTTCTGCCCTATGGTTGGGAGTGAAGTATATTCTACAGAAATCAAGAAGACAGAAGTGCTTATGGAAAACTTTCGGAGAGCTATTGGTGTGTCTCGCATTTTAGGTGGTTACTTTTAGGGCTAAGAATAAAAGAAATAAAGGAAGTGTATGAAGGAGAAGTTACTGAATTGACTCCGATCGAAACTGAAAATCCGACAGGAGGCGTTGGAAAAACTATTTCTCATGTTATTATAAGCTTAAGAACCTTTAAGGGAGTTAAGCAACTTAAACTTGATCCTTGTATCTACGAGAGTCTTCACAAAGAAAGAGTAGAAGTCGGGGATGTTATATACATTGAAGCTAATTCAGGAGCGGTCAAGCGACAGGGACGTTGTGATGTCTATGCTGCAGAGTATGATCTAGAGGCAGATGAATACGTTCCACTTCCGAAAGGAGAAGTCCACAAAAAAAAGGAAGTTATCCAGGATGTTACGTTGCATGATCTTGATGTTGCTAATGCAAGGCCCCAAGGCGGCCAGGATATTGTGTCAATGATGGGTCAATTAATGAAACCTAAAAAAACAGAAATAACGGGTAAGTACAGCTATGAAAAAGTAATTTAATTTAGTTATTCATAAGCACTTAATATCGGTGATCTTTTTATACAAGTAGATACGTAAGCTGGTTTAGAATAATAAATTACTAGGTAAAATTGAAATTAGCTGGAAAAAATATTAACTTGAATAGGTAAAAGAAAAAAAAGAAATATTGTCCATTATTAAATCACATTATGCATATTGAAAAGGGTCTTAGTATTGATCTAGTGCAATATTAGATAAAATGGAGGTAGGGAGCATGGGTAGATTATCCATATTACGTGAAGATTATTATATACTAAAAGAAAGTAAAAGATATCGTAAAAAAACGATGCGATGAAGCAAGATGTGGAGAGTTATAGCGATATAGTAGTGTGTTTTATTAGTAAATGGAATTAAAGCGGTGATTAATTTTCTTATTTACGCAATGTAGTTCCCAATTTTTGCTGGTGTTTAATTAGCTCAGTTTCTTTAGCTGTAGGCACTCGTGTAC